CTGACTGTGGCCATTAACACTGATGCCACCCACTATTTTCTGCCATGTGTCACTCAACTTGGCAGTTACTCCTTCAAGTAAGAGATTATCTTTCAACTTCTGTTTTGCCTCCTCTGAATTCTGTAGCACTAATGTGACTATTAATAAATACGATGCTACTTGTGATATTACTTTATAAACTTTGGACAGCTAAACTTTATTTTTTATGGAATACTTTACGAATTTGTGTGTCATTCTTACACAGGGGCCATGCTAATCTTCTCTGTATCATTTGAATTTTAGTATATGTGTTGCCGACGCAAGCACTGGACAGCTAAACTCTTAAGTAACTTCTGGAAAGGTTCTTAGATCTAGTCTGGTGAGGCCCGACATTCACACAGTAAGTCAGGCAAAGCAAATATATTACTCAGAGAGTTGGCAAGGATAAACAGAAACCTAGGATCCATGGTAAGCTGGACCCCAAGGCTCAGGAAAGCTTCCCAGAGCAGATGGAGTCTTGTCTGCATGTGCCCTACATTGCACAACAGCTAAGGGACCCCTAAAACACTCTGCTCTGGGTTTTATAACCTAGGAGTGGCTGGGATTGCTTAGTATAAGCATTGCAGAACAACTCTGTTTTCGAAGGAAGGATGACACAACCCAGTTTGTTTAAGCATTTCCTCCTTATCTCAGTATGTTCTGCTTGAGAATTATAAGCAAGAGAGGGAAGAGCTGGGCTGGCCAAGGCCATCCAGGGACCTGTCCTCCTGCAATTTTTTGTTTAATTACCTAGACAGCTGCTGAGGGCAGGAAGCATTTCCTGTACTAATGTATTTTTTTTTTTTTTTTTTTTTTTTTGAGACAGAGTCTCGCTTTGTTGCCCAGGCTAGAGTGAGTGCCGTGGCGTCAGCCTAGCTCACAGCAACCTCAAACTCCTGGGCTTGAGTGATCCTTCTGCCTCAGCCTCCCGGGTAGCTGGGACTACAGGCATGCGCCACCATGCCCGGCTAATTTTTTTTTTTATATATATATCAGTTGGCCAATTAATTTCTTTCTATTTATAGTAGAGACGGGGTCTCGCTCTTGCTCAGGCTGGTTTTGAACTCCTGACCTTGAGCAATCCGCCCGCCTCGGCCTCCCAAGAGCTAGGATTACAGGCGTGAGCCACAGCGCCCGGCCTGTACTAATGTATTTTTATCTTCTGTGGAGATGTCATACTTAAATATTTGTTGACTCAATTTTTTTAGCTCCCCAAAAGATAGCTTTCCCATTTTACGTGAATAAAGCAATTAAAAATCCTAACCTACATAAAATTGTTGCTGCTTATTTTCTACATCTAGATAGTTCACTTGTCACCCTTCTTTTATTCTATGGTTCCAAGATCTGATTTTTTTCCCATTATAATTATACTTCCCCCTTAGATAATACCTATAGAAATACAAGATGGGAGTTGGCAAAATTGCTGATATTTCAAATTGTGATTTAATTCTTAGTTGAACAAATAATAGATAAGCCCATAACTGCATGTATTTTGGTCTTTCAACATCAAGTATTTTAGCAAATAGGTCTTTTAATTTATTTACTATCATTATACATTAAATTACAGAATTCTTGAAGGTAGGAATTGGACATTGATAGAATGATCTTTCTGGATTCACTTTCTCCCTTCGGCCACCTTACCTGACGTTGCAAAGGATTTCCATACTTCTTATTCCTCAGAGAAAATACTTAAGATAAAAATATGCCCTAAAGAGGTAACACTCTGGTTTAAATTCTGTAAATTGATTATCTTTTGCTTCATAGTAAAACCAATGTAAATCTTAGAGGTTTAACTTTTAAGCCTTAAAACATTTATTATTTTTCATAGTTTGTTGGTTGGACTCAGCCAGCTGGTTCTGCTCTTCCTGGTGTTGGCTGGGGTCACTCATAAGGCTGTATGTATTCAGCTGGGAACTTGGATGGGGCTGAAATGTCCCCAAATGGCTTCACTATATGTCTGGTGCTTTAGCTGAAGTGGATGAAATGGCTGGGCCTCTTTCTTTCTCAGGAAGGGTAGTTACATAGGCTTCTTATAGGGTGGCTCAGGTGCTGAAAGAATGAAAGTAGAAACTGTCAGTCTCCTTGAGGATAAGGCCCAGTAGTGGGACAACATCATTTCTGCATTCTCCTGGTCAAAGAAAGCAACAGGGCTAACCCAGATTTAAGGGGGAATGGAAACAAACTCATCTTAATTGGAGAAACAACATGTTTGAGCAGGAATAGAAGGAATTATTGGCAGTCTACTATATAAAGTTAAATCCTTAAGAGCAATTTTGAATGGTGGTGGGGAGAGGGCTGTACATGTGTATCTCCCCAACATCTATATATAAAGTGAAGAGGATTTTCCTTCTTTTTTTTTTTTAGAGACAGAGTCTCGCTTTGTTGCCCAGGCTAGAATGAGTGCCATGGCGTCAGCCTAGCTCACAGCAACCTCAAACTCCTGGGCTCAAGCAATCCTGCTGCCTCAGCCTCGTGAGTAGCTGGGACTACAGGCATGCACCACCATGCCCAGCTAATTTTTTCTCTATATATTAGTTGGCCAATTAATTTCTATTTATAGTAGAGACGGGGTCTCGCTCTTGCTCAGGCTGGTTTCGAACTCCTGACCTCGAGCAATCCGCCCGCCTCGGCCTCCCAGAGTGCTAGGATTACAGGCGTTAGCCACAGCGCCTGGCCGAAGAGGATTTTCTAAGGGGAGGCAGAGTTTAATTTAATTTAGAAATGGTTTGCCAGATAGATCAGGCAGTCTACAACATGGAGTACTATGGATAATACCAAGGATTCTAACTCACAGTGACACCAGGGCTTCTCTGGGGGAGAGTATGACAGTCATTCTCAAATTTTCCTGATTCAGACTTCCCAGCCATTAATTTATCCAAATGCTTGCAGCTGTTTATACATTTGGGGGACAGTTTCTACGGAAAATTGTATTGTGACTATTCATTCTCTAAATATTATTAGCAACAGGTCATACCTGCCCCTACCCCTAGCTTTTTCTCTCACATACACCTGTTTCAATATTCTGATTTTATGATTAAAATCAAGTTCATTCTTTTTAACCTTTTCATGAATGTGTATTTTTCTTATCCACCACTTTATAGTGTGCTAAATTTTAGTTTTTCCTAATAGGAATACCATTCCCTTATCTTTTATTTGCCCCTCTGTTCCTTTTTTTACTTATGTATTTTCTTGAGGAATACAAACTGGAACTGTATGTAGGCTTTGTCTCAGATCTTATTTCTAATATCAACTCTTTATGATGACCAGAGTTTTTACTGGATTTTGTTTATGGTTTTAGGGAGTAAACTTCTAGTAATAAAACTACAATTTCTTAGTTTTTAAAAATTATTATTGGTACATTTCGTGTTAAACTTTAGTTTCCATCACTCTTAATAGAATGAAATTTCACCTGCTGTTTTCTACCCCCCCCCACACACACACACAACTTGAGAGGAAAGGCTTTTCAGGATGAGTAAAATATAGTCTGATCTGAAGGATGATCAGTCAGATAAATGCAGGATCAGGGAAGAATGATTTCCAGGAAAAATATTCCAGTAACAGAAAGTGCATTGCATTGAGTTACTGAAAGCAGTCCACTATTGTAGTACAGAAGGAATTTAGGAGTCTGAGGTCAAGATTAAAAATCTAACAGCTCAGAGATAGCCCATTCCCTAGCACAACCTGGCACATTCTTAAGTATCCTGCAGGTTTTGTGTCTCACTCTTTTCAGGCTGGTCTCAAACTCCTGACCTGACCTCAAGTGATTCTCCTGCTTTGGCCTCCCAGAGTGCTAGGATTACAGGTGTGAGCCACCATGCCCGGCCTATCCCTAGGTTTAAAACAGTGCTTTCAGCTATTAAGTATTGAAAGCTTACTGTGTATTATAGAAAGTACTGTTCTAGATGCTTGGGATTACCCAGTGAACAAAATGCAAAAATCCTTACCTTGGGGCATTTTAGCCACATTATATTTTAGCAGAGGGAGACATCATAGAAGTGAACAACATAGAAGTTGGTAAATACTACAGAGAACATATAGTAGGAAAAGTGGGATCTGGAGTCATGCTGGGATAGAAAGGGGCATTGCAATATTAAACAGGATCCTTTGAGTTTATTTTGGAGGATTTGCAAGAGATAGAGTCAGATATATGGATATAAGGAATGACTAGAGGGGACAGCTAGTGCAAAGGCTCTAAGGCAGGATTGTCTTTGACTGCCCTGCATGGAGCCAACTAGCTGAGACTGAGTGATAAAGGGGAAGAATAGCAGCTGAGGTCAGAAATTGAAATCCATGGTAATGTTTTGAGTTCTATTTTGAAACAGGGAACTACTGAACAACTTCAAGTAGAAGAGTGGATGTCTCTGCTGCTGTGTTTAGAACAGATTGTGGAGTTAATTATCATAGCAGGGAGATCAATTATGAGGTTATTGTGAAACTCCAGGCAAGAAATAATGTAGATATAAATTTGGCAGTCCTCAGCATACACACAGTATTTAAAGCCATAGGACAGGATGTGATCACCAAGGAAATTTAGTTATCTTGTCCTGCTCCACTTAAACCTTGGCTTTCAAATACTCCTAACCATTCTTGGTACTACTTCAAGAAGACTTCAACAAAGACTGGTAGTTAAACTAAGAAGTTCCAACTTGCTTTTCATGTTACTTAGGATGGAAATAATTTATTTCATGATGATTTGGCAAGTATCTGATGTTCTACTTTGATAAAAAGAACCAAATCTCTTTTCCAGAAGACTGTATTAGAGCCTAAAAATAAATCAAAATAAGAACTGTATAGGATGAAAATTAAAGATTATTTGCAAGATTATATCAAGACTGAACTCCTTGAAGCACAGCGAGCACTGTCTTGTCCATCTGTATATTTTCATGGTCTAACACACTGGCACATGAGAAGCAATCAATACATGTTAATGAATATCCAAGAATCTGAAGTTACAACAATTATGACACATTGAGACACAAACCAAAATTACAAAAGGAAATTTATTTCAAAAGCATAAGGAAACATTTACATTTAAACAAAGTGATAAACAGGTGTCTTGCAAAAGAAAAAAATCTATGGCATGAAGGTTTCCATTCAAATTTTGTAAGCAAAAATAACCTAACTTTGAACTATTGCCTTAGGAAAGGGAAGAGTGAGGTGGTGAGGGAAGGAACACAACTTAGTATCAAACTAGAGAAAGTAAAGTCACTTCTGCTTAGCTCTGAGTTTAAAAATATAAAAAGAAAATGGAAAAATTACACTTACTGTTCAAATTTATATAGCTGTAGTCTCAATGTAGTTTCTGTACTTGAAATGGCTTTAGCCACTGGCTGATCGATCTATGAGGTCCAGACTAGCTGGTCACAGTTTTCAAATGACAATTCCGTGTTCCTATGTCTGTTCAGATTCCAAGGGAGTACAGGTTCAGCTTATAGTCTTGGAATGTTAGAGGTTATTGCCACCACTCCATTAGCCAAGCTGACCGAGTTTTTTTTTTTTTTTTTTTTTGCTCATTGTGTCATTCTAGCCTTGTAGAAATATTTTCCTCATAAACATGAAGTAATTAACAAAGGGGTTTTGCTTTTCCCCCAGTGTAGAGGTAACGGTAATGAAGACACCTGCATTGGAATCACAAACTATTCCTCAAAAAATACATTAAACTACTAGAAATGTCATTCAGGCATTTGCTTTGAATAGCAGACTTAGGGAAGGGAAGATTAACTGTGGAACAAAAATATATGAAACATTCAACTGCAGAGCAAAGGGTCTATGCTACTAAAAATGCCCACGACATTAAACACTCCACAAACCCCCCGTCTGTTGTTTTAAACTAAAGATTCTATTGGCTAACATACAATAATTTTGATTAATAACCTGAGAAGTTAAAATCTTGAAAGTGGCAAAAGCAAACCAAGAGGAGCATCCCTTACTTACTGGTACCATGTTATCAAGTCACTTTTCCTGGACAGCCCTGGTTATTAAATCTCCAAATTCTAAATTATACTATCTCATCCTGTAGAAACCTATATGTACACTAGATTCAATATTTTGGCTGTATTTCACCAATAGCAATTTCCAAATTTATCTTTGAAAATGCAGCCTTTGTTTATTTTTCCTTTTAAATAACAATAATCATGTAAGTGCAACTGACTCAAAATCCCTCAGTACTGGGAATAAAAACCTAGATAACAAGTCAATAATGGATTCAGCCTCAAAAGGATAATCACCGTGTCAAAGACTACCCGTTCCTGGAATTTTGAAAAATGATTTATGTTGTGTAGTCAAGTTTCACAGCATGCATATATATACACATACACACACATATATGCCTATGTATGTATGTATATTATACATACCCATTTCTATTCAAATAGTAAGATCCCATATTCAGAAGTTTGTATCACAATATATGGAAAAGAGTTAAGTAAGCAGTGCAAAGCAACTTACTTCCTCCTAAAAATGTAATGTCACTTCTACATTTTAAGAAAGATTTGGTAAGTTTTAGCTTTTATGACACTAGGTAGGTGGGAATGCTGCACCATTGCCTAGCAGCTTTATTAAAAAACAAAACAAAAGGTTAAGATTGACTGTTACTCTTCTCCATATATTGGGCAAAAACTAAGAGACGGGAGAGGAAAATCAGTAACCTTTCAAAACTGATGATCTTTATCAGTTATCAGAACTAGACTGAATTTCATTACATTTAAAACTTGAACAGCTTTCAATAATGAATCATCAAGATGTTTAAAAGTAAAGATTCACAATATGAAGTCTGAATAATGATGATATTGCAAAAACAAGCATCCAAAAATATCGCTGTGGTTTACCTTGGACACACCATGGTCTGTTACAAAAGTAGATCATACATACAAAGGTATAAAGAACATTAAGTTTTTAGCTGAAGGCAGCAGTCCGTTTAAAGGGACATCCCCGGCAATCCAATCAACGAGTAGTAGTATTTAAGTATATTAAGCTCATGACAATGCTGAAGAATGTGATGTCTTATTCAGTAGAGTCTTCCCCGACTACGATTTCCTCGTGCGCCCCAACCTCGGCCACCTCTACTTCCCCTGAAGGCTCCTCTCTGCTCTACGAAAAAGCGAACAAGGGTTTAGGTCTTGTTTATGACTTCAGAGTACAGCAGACACAGAAAAAATGCAGCTTGTAACTCTGTAGCAGCAGGCCCTACAAAAGCAGAACTAATCTAATCTGTCTACAAATTCATTCTGTACATTAAAGCAAGGCAACATATATACTCAACCATATATGGCAAGAAGCCAAATACATTCATAGCAGGTGCTCAAATGTATCCCATTAACAAATATGTTTCAAGGTGACAATGTTATGATAACTACACTTACTTGTTCTTACTTGGTCCCTATCGCTACCAAAGATAATGAAATTATAAAAATTTCCATACTTAATACAGAATTAACAAAAAAGACATTGGTCTTTCAAAGTTAGTGCCACACATGAGAAATATCTAAAGCTATCAATGATCAATTTTGAAAAATCAGGCTAGACAGAAAAAGTCCCTTTTGAATCAACAGGCAATTTCTTTTGTTTTGATCACAGTATTTCAAGCACCTGGACTCACATAAATGTAGATCTAAATATTGACATCTTTTTCACTGCTTTATCAGCTATGTGAGCTTCCCTGAGTGCTGCCCAAACAGTGTTATATGTGTGTGTGTGTGTATATATATATATATGCATATATATATATATATATATGTATACATATATATGGTGTGTGTGTGTATGTCTCGGTTACTGGTGTAAATTAAGCCTATCTTTTGCTGAAAAATCAAGTCATCTGTGACACACAGTACAAAAGGAGAGTCTTTGATTCATTAATCAGTCACTTTTATAGCCCAGAGAAATATTCCTCAAAGGAGTCTTTCCAGCGAGGAAAACTGATTGAAGTTATCAGCAAGGCTAGACTTTTCATCATATGTAAATTAGATCAAATCACTTTATTGAACTTTCAAACTTCCTCATTGCAGCCATCTTGTTAGCAGCAATAAAAAAGAGCTTGATTTTGATGTTTTTGATCCATACTCTTGAGGCTTGAAAAATATACCTTTAAAGTCAATTTTGCAATCCGTTTTTTTTGCCATTATGGCTTATTAGAGTGATGTTTTTATGTCTTTTCCCCCAGAAGGAAAAGTAATTCAGTTCTAAGTTGGAAAACTAACTAGCCCTTTCCCCAGTTTAGCCAACATTTATCTGTGTGATGGAATAGGATCTGATTCAAAGTCATCTCTTATACCATGACACACTCTTATAAGTTGATTGGTATGCAAACCATTTTAAAATGAAATTATGATGTATTACCCTAGTGAACACGTTCAGAAAATCAGAGGTGGTCTCTGAAGGCAAGATGCTGCCAGTGACATGCAGTGAATACGGATGCATTCAAGAAGTGTAGTAACCTTTAAGTGGGCATTTTGACTGTTCAGACTCAAACCCACCTATGCAGATGTGTACGTTTTCCCCTACCATACTCATTCACATCAACACATTTAACAGTACCTTCATAGATATCATTATTAGCTATAAGCTAAGAGACTACTAAAATCTGCTCTTTCAATTTTTTTTTCTATTTTAATATAAAGAACAGGGTTATCCACAAATGTTTAATTACATTTAATGAGTATATCAAATATACTGTAAGAAGGTATTGTTTGATGTTTCTATATTGTCTATTTCTTTTTTCATTTCTAACTGATGCAGTCATTTCTACAATATAAGGATTCACCAAATCTTCATTTTGAGGAGCTATATCCTAAAGTACCTTTCTGTATTTTCATGATCTTTTCAATGGCTTCAATGGCATACATTATTTTTTTTTTTTTTTTTTTTGAGACAGAGTCTCACTTTGTTGTCCAGGCTAGAGTGAGTGCCGTGGCGTCAGCCTAGCTCACAGCAACCTCAAACTCCTGGGCTTGAGTGATCCTTCTGCCTCAGCCTCCCGAGTAGCTGGGACTACAGGCATGCGCCACCATGCCCGGCTAATTTTTTTTTATATATATATCAGTTGGCCAATTAATTTCTTTCTATTTATAGTAGAGACGGGGTCTCGCTCTTGCTCAGGCTGGTTTTGAACTCCTGACCTTGAGCAATCCGCCCGCCTCGGCCTCCCAAGAGCTAGGATTACAGGCGTGAGCCACAGCGCCCGGCCGGCATACATTATTAACTTTTTAAAAAAACCACTGCTCTCAGTTAAAATTATACTTTAAGGATAAATTTTATACTCTTAAAAAGGTAAAATGTAAAGGATACAAGTCACAAATTATAGACTATTTAGTACTTCTGGGTCACTTGGGGAACTCTGTTTACAAGAAAGAAAACTAAACATGGGTATTATGTTTACAAATAATTTGAAAATGCACCAGGAAGTTGAACTAATTTATGACAGCCAATACCATATTTTTAAAGCAAAAAAACAGACACTGGTTAGTAAAGCAATAAATTCAGATACACTCTTCCTGTTTTCCTTTCCTTTCCTTTCCTTTCCTTCCCTTCCCTTCCCCTTCCCCTTCCCTTCCCTTCCCTTCCCTTCCCTTCCC